AGGAATGCGACCTGTCTGGCAAAGCAGTGTCCAGATGCAGAACATCTGGCCGCATGGCAAGGTGTCTGCGCCTTCGTCTCCAGGCTGAGGGGCAGGCAGAGGAGATTATAGGACCTTTAAATAGCTGTGGGATTTTTTTATTGTTGCTTTTCTTTAAAATCTTTTCTTTTTTATGTCTTCTTTAAAAAAAAAAACAAAACACCAAAAGATCTTACAGAAACCCTGGAAATCTTGTGGCACTGTCAGCAAGTCCTTATTAAAAGTGATTTCTTCAACATGTTCTTTGAAGCAACGTGTGACAACTAACGACGTGCGACTTGCACGAGCCATCAAGGCTCCTTATAGGCGGGATGGATAATGTTTTAATTAAGCCAATAACAGAAGTTTCAAAACGAACCTTTGAACCACAACACCGCAAGTACCTTTTCTGCAAGCCTGGAGGTTACTGATGGTTTCCCTGCCCTGATGCACCGGCTCTAGCAGCTTTCCACCTCCCTCCATCACCTCTCTTCATGATGGGGAGAAGCTCCCCATGCCCACAGCGGCTCCTTATCAACCCGAAACTCAACAACTCTGCAAACATATTTTTACGGGGAATGCGGTACTGTCAAAGTGACCTTCACCAAGCCTCGCGCTGCTGTGCAGAGACTCACAGTTTAGCTAAAGAGAGACAATAATCATCATTAATGCCTGTTTAATAGAAGCTGGCGGTAATCAGTCATCCTGTTGGTGCAGAGATTACCCGGCTCTAGAGGGAATATGCAATCTTTTTGACTGACCATTTTCTAAGATTTTTTGTTTCCAATCCCTGTTGATGGGAGGCGACTGAAAGGATAAAAAAAAAAAACCAAAACCATAAGAAAGATAACTGTTAATCTCTGACAGTCCTCTCTATGTTGAAAACAGAATCACCCTGGGGCACCTACTATCTCCTGCGGTATTTCTCCCCACTGCCCCAGGAGAAGCTCTTCCCGGTGGGCGCGCTGGGAGGAGAGCATCTGCCCGGCGGGTTTCCCCATCCAGCGGCTCAGAGATGGAAACAGCTGATCCTACTGAATCAGCAGCAAAGGCAGAACTACACCCAAAGCCAGAACTACACCCAAAGCCAGAACTACACCCAACGCCAGGCCAAAACCACCAGCCCAGGGATGCCCAACCTCCTCCTGCCACTACCACTGGCCTTGGCAATGCCAGCCACCCTGGGTTGGGGACCTGGCCAGCTTGTCCACACACACAACAAGGTAAAGAGCATCGCCAACCTCATCCCAATGGATGGACCGCGTGGTCCGTACACACCCATGCAGATGCGCCCTGGTCAAGCATTTTTATGCAATTATATATTTATGGTATGTCGTATATGAATAATTCCCATATTCCCAAGAGGCCTGGTGCTCTCCCGGCAGCAGGACAACGAGACCTGCAGCTCAGAGTGGGGATCCAACCGGTGCCGAAATACCCTCCCCACTCCGTTCCCTTGGCTCTTCTGCCATTGCCCCTTCCTTCCCGCTTGGGCCCAGCCTTTTGGAGGCAGTGAGAGGATTTGATTACCCCCGTTAATGGAAATATCGCCTCTAAGTCCTTTAAGTGGTTTCAGAAAACCTCAGCGACTGTCCGTCCCCGGGGGAAGGGATGCCATCTCCCTTTTCTGTCTGTGAAGCCCGCAGCAGGTGCTGGCGAGGCAAGCGCCGAACGACAGCCAGCAGCAGCAAATCCTGCGCACAAGCCCAGGGCGGTCGGTGGGAGCGCCCGTTCCCAAACCCAGCACACAAACAGGGGCAACGCCTGCGCTTCGGGCTCAGGGAGACCCGCACGGCCGCGGCAGGGCTCGGGAGCTCACCCCAAATCCCAAACGGTGATGGGGAGCTGCACCCAGGAAAGCAAAACACCCGGTTCTGCAGCTGGTCCATGGCCTGAACTCCCCCAAAGCATCACGCTGGGCTAATGCAACCCGCTGAGCAGCACGGGGGAATATTGGGGCTCACCACCCCGTTTTCGCAACCCAACCTCGCTTTTCCTACCTGGGCCGGCACGGCCCCATAGGCGCTGCCAGGGGAAGAGCCGGGAGCACGGCTGCCACCTCCAGCCACTCCGTGGGGGCTCCATTTTTTTCCAGCGGGGACCTCCTGAGCAAAAAGCAGGCGCCGCCGCCGCTCCAGCCTCTGCAGATTGGGCCCAGAGGGAGCTCTGCAACCCACTGCGTTACGTATCAACAGCCATATGGTCATCTACATTTTAATTGCAGAAGCTTTATTGCCGGGGATGATGCATGTGCTGGAACGGCACCAGCTCGTCTCTCGGAGCCGGGGCTGCGGGGCCGCCTGCTAGAAAAATCATCTTTTTTCCTTTTAAATAGACTTGCCAGGGAAAGGGGTGAGAGAGCCTCTGCAGAGCCATGACACAGCGCTTGTGAAAGAGGTGCTGTAGACGCAGCGTCAGGGATAAAGGTGCGCTTGAAAATCACACTCAGGGCATGGCAGAGGCTTCCCTTGGCCGGAGGCACAGAGGATGCTCCCTCCAGCGAGGGGATTTTTTTTGCCCAGTTTGGGGCACTGGAAAGTGAAGAAGCAGTGGCCGGATCCCATCTCAACGCAATGCTAACCCTACGCAGGAGCACGTCCCACCACGCCGCCCCTGCCAGGCGCCTGCTCCCTCACCAGGGAGCTGGGCTGGGGCCGAAAGCCGCATCTGGCGGCAGCGCCAGGCAGCTCAGCGAGCCCTGGGGGCAATCCAAATCCCCAAATGGAAGCGTGAAGGTTCTTACTATAAAGCACATCAAACACTTCCTCTACCATCTTCCTGAGGAGGTACACGTCTGATCCCTGGTCCGGGGAGACCCTGAGCACGCTTCGCCCGCACTCCTTTGCCTTCTTCTGCACCTCTGCGTCCTGCTCCTTCCTCTGCTGGACTCCTGCATGGGGGGAGAGGAGAAAACGGGAGACGCTGTGGTGAGAAGAGGGTTCACGGGTGATGCCATGCGTGCTTTTGAGCGGCTGCAAAGTGATCAAACCCGTCAGCCGGGTTACACCAACTTTAGCCAGGACTGAATGCATCCCTGCCCGCCAAACCCCATGCAAGATGGGGGTCCCGTGAGTGCCAGGCCTCTCGCTGCCCCCACGGCGTCAGCAAAGTCCTCTGGCCAGGCAGGTGGGTGCCCCGGGTCTCCCACCCACCCCAGCCCCCTGGCTTGGATGGGGCCACAGCCCCCGGCAGCCCCCAACGTGCAGGGGAAGGTGCCAGCACGGGCAGCGGTGCCAGCAGCGCTGCCGGGAGCGGGGTCGGTCATCCTGTGCATGCCCTCCCTTCCCTGGTTTTACCCACTCAGCCGCATTGAAACTGTTGGGATTAATTGGGCAGCGCGTTTCTTTTCTCTGGTTTCAATCTGCTTAGCCTTCAATCTCTCAGGAAAAGAAAATCCGCCTTTCTCGGAGGCTTTTTTACCCTTCAGCGTCACGTAGCTCAGTAATACCAGCTATTTCCTGCTAATTTCCCCCATTAAACCTCAAATAAAGCATATCTTCGGCAACGACTTCCTTGCATCTCTAAATGCACAGAAAATTAAACACTACAAGTGCATTATTGCTGTTCTATCCAAAGTGATTCACAAGGGATTTTCGGTGGCGAAGGACTAATTCCTTCATCATCCTCGACAGGCTCCTGCCGGTGATTGGCCCTGGATGCTGCCTGGGCGCTCAAGGAGGAGCTCGTGGATCCCTGCTGTGGAAACAGCCCATGGCTGGGACATCACTGGGATGGGGGCGAGAGCCACCCGGGGTACCCGCACAACCGGCCACAGGAAAGGGGACAGCCACCCAACACCACGCAACCCCTGGCAAGCTCCGCATCCCTCCCACAGCGTGGGGAAACGGGCCCTGGAAAACTTTTTTGGGGTGTTTTACGAAGGTGGTGAAATGCATCCTCATCCACACCCTCCTACGACTGACTCTCCCTCCCGGCTGGGCGCAAACTCTCCTCCGTTGACATTAATCCTGATCACTGTCAAGTTCCTCCCGTGCGCCAGGAAAGGCTGAGCCAGAGGTTCAGATAAAGGAGCACGTTCAAGCGAGGTCTGCACGCCCAGAGAGATAAGAGGTTTCTTACATCTCCCAGCGATGTCTGCTTTAGATTATTTCAGATCCTTTCTAAGGGGGCAGCTAGACCATAAATCAGAGGCACTTGCAGGGATGCTTTCCACTGCGTGCCAGTTGTAAGAGCTTTATGGAGCGGAGTTGAGCCCGGGCCATTTATAATTCAAGACAGAGTTATCATGTTTCACCCTGTCTCCAGCATCAGCCGCTTCACCCGAACCCCATCGCCAAGATTTTGTGCTTTCAACCAGACGTGACCGTTTCATTTTGACAAAGGTGTAAATGAAACCAAAGGAGAGGGGAATCAGGAGCTAATGCCGGGCGCCTTGCCCCAGCAGAGTGGTAGGTCACCAGCCAGGATATATGTATATATATTTCTAAAAGTGAGATTTGCAGGTCATCAAATATTGTGAGCTCTAGGGAAACACAGTTAGCATTTAGTATATAAGATGGAGCTCCCTCCTGTTGGCCACCCCGCTGCCGTTCACCGCTCGGGTACCTCCCTGCCTCCCGTGGGTGGTGGGAAGGGGAGGCAGAGCCGCCCGCCAACGCAAGAAACGTCCCCAAAATGCCTCCCGTCCTGCAAAACACAACACGCCAAAGCGGAGGGTAACTAACGGCGGCTCTCCCGGGTGCGCGTGGCGGAGGT